GTGTGGAGTTTGACAAAGTTGGTTTCTCTATTAAGGATGAGTGCACTCGGATGATTCTGCACTGATGTGACAGTCGGGCAATCTCTACCCCGTCCAGCCATCATCATCTTCCACTGCTGGACCGGTTGCCCTCTCCGTCGGGGTTGACCTTTGGCATGCATGCATTGGCCATCTGGCTCCTCTGCACTTTGTACAATCATGCAAGGCTTTTCTTTCTCTTGCGATAAAATAGATAGCCACACTTGTCATGCCAGCCGTATCAGCAAGCAAGTTCATCTTCCATTTAGTTAATCTTCCACAGTTGCGTCTTTTCCGTTCCAGTTAATTCATAGTGATGTATGGACCTCACCTATTCCAAGTAATTCCGGTTATCTTTATTATCTTGTGATCTTGGATGATTATTCCCGTTTTGTGTGGACCTTTCCTTTCCGCCGAAAATCGGATGTTCCGTCTACAGTCATGTTTTTTCTTATGTGTCTGCACAATTCAGGAGGGACGTTCGTTCATCCATTGCAAACTGACAATGGAAAGGAGTCCGACAACCTTACCATCCGCACTCTTCTTGCATCCCATGGCACCATCTTCCGACTCATGTGTCCTTACACCTCGCCACAAAATGGTCATGTCGAACGTATGGTCCGCTTAATGACTATGTCCACACTCTCCTGTTTCATGCTCATGCTCCACCTTTCTTTTGGCCCGATGCACTCGCCACAACAACCCTTCTCATTAATATTTGAACTTGCCATGTTTGAAGGAACTATACACCACATGAACTTCTCTTCAGCTCGCCACTATCTTATGATGATCTTTGGTCTTTGGTTGTTTGTGCTACCCTAGCATCGCCACCACCACTCCACATAAGCTCGTCCGTGGTTCTTGCCCTGCATTTTTCTCGGCTACCCATCAAACACGAAGGGCTATTGCTGCTACAATCCGGTGTCTCACTGGGTTATCACGTCACGACATGTTTATTTTGATGAGATGAACTTTCATTTTTAGCACCTTAACAGGAGCACCTCTGTGCTGCCGTCATCTTTGATGGCACCTCGCCCCGCCATTGGCTGTTCCCAGGCCGGCCCCGATGCCCCACGCTATCATGGCCAATGCATCGTGGCTACTTCACCGGCTACTCTAGCCGTTTCATCGGTCGCCTTGGTGTCGTCTACTTCTTCGGACACCTCGACGCCCATCACATTGGCCGCCTCGATGCCGGCCATGTCGGCTGGTTCTTCGGCCACCTCGATGCCGACCATGCTGACTGCTTCTCCGACCGCCTCGCCGTTGGCTACGCCGGCCGCCTCGACGCCAGTTGCTTCTCTGACTGCCTCCACGTCGGCCTCGCCAGCTGGCTCGCCGGTCGCCTTGACGCCGGCCTCCTCTGTCGTCATGGCTGCCTCACTGGCCTCCTCGACCGCCTCTTTGGCCAGCTCAGCTGCCATGGCTGCCGACGGCCCACCTCCGCCACCCGCGAGTCCCATTACTTGCGCTCGTGTAGGTGTGTTCCAGCTGAGCTCCAGCTACCCCATCGACGAGTACGTGTGTGCGGCCTCCACCTCCGCGCCCACGTCGTTGCCCACCTCCGCTCAGGACGGATCTACTGGATCCACAGTGGCATGCAACCATGAAGTAGGAGTTTCACGCCCTGCAGCGCAACCGAATGTGGCAGCTTGTTCCCCGTCCGCGCAACGCCAATGTCATCTTCGACAAGTGGGTGTTCAAGAACAAACTTCGCCCGACGGTTTACATGAGCGCTAGAAAGTGCATTAGGTGGTTTGAGGCTTTTGTCAGCGAGCCGGTGTCGACTTCACGAATACCTCTGCCCTGGTTGTCAAACCCAGCATGATTTGTACCATCATGCACCTCATAGTGTCTCAGGCGTGGCCGGTACACCAGATGGATGTCTCCAACGCCTTCCTCCATGGCCATCTCGACGAGCTAGTGTATTGCCAGCGGCCCGCTGGTTTTGTCAACGACGCATCCCCAGATCATGTGTGCCTGTTTCTTGCTCGTTATACGGACTCAAGTAGGCACCACGTGCCTGGTACTAGCGCACCGCGATGTTTCTTCACTAGCTCGGCTTCCGCTCCACTCGCTCCGACGCCTTGCTATTTGTCTATCGACGGGGCCATGAGATTGCGTACCTGCTCCTCTGCATTGACGCCATCATTTTGGCGGCATGCACCATTGATCTACTTCTTCGGCTTACTGATCAACTTCACATTGAGTTCGCTATCAAGGACTTAGGGCCGCTAGACTATTTCCACGACATCGAGGTGGTACGATGTGTGGACAGGTTCTTTCTTCACCAGGGGAAGTATGCTCATGAGTTGCTTGACTGCGCCGGGATGCTCAACTGCAAACCCGCGACCACCCCTGCCGACACGAAGGCCAAGCTCTCCTCCACCATTGGTTTGCTGACGCCGGATGCCCCCTTCTACCGCACGATTGTGGGTGTTCTCTAGTACCCGACGCTCACTCTCCTAGAGTTGAAGTATGCGGTACAACAGGTGTGCCTTCATATGCATTCGCCTCGTGATGCTCACTGGACCGCGGTGAAACGGATTCTCCGTTACATACGCGGTACTATGGATCTTTGTCTCTCGCTCCATGCTTCGGCAGGTATGAACATCGTGGCGTACTCTGATGTAGACTAGACTGGCTGCCCCGACACACGACGTTCCACCTCCGGATACTGTGTCTACCTTGGACTATCACTTATCTGCTGGTCATCCAAGCGGCAGCCCACAGTCTCTTGGTCCAGTGCTGAGGCTGAGTATAGTGTTGTGGCTAACGTTGTTGCCGAGTGCTCATGGCTTCTGCAACTTCTCTACGAGCTCTCTTGTCCTGTCGATAAGGTCACCATTGTGTATTGCGACAACGTCTGTGCAGTCTACCTCTCTGACAACCTTGTTCATCATTGACGCATCAAACATATTGAGCTGGATATCCACTTTGTTCGTGAGTAGGTGGCTCTTGGCCATGTTCGAGTTCTTCACATGTCTATGGCCTACCTCTCAGCAATTTGCGGATATCATGACGAAG